AAGTTTAGATTGATCTTCATGCGTTTTGACGTCCGAATCGTGGTTTTATAGGTTATTTTGATGATTTGATCACGCGAGCGAGTTCGTGTTGTGTTTCTGGGCCTGGGTGCATGGTTGGTTTGGAGCCTCTGGGCTCGGGTGAGTTTCGGATTGGTTTTGAAATGATTTTTCATAAACTTTGATTGCTGGTACTGGTGTCATCGCATTTGCGATGTTTTTGTCGCAAATGCGACTATCGCAATTGCGAAGCAGCCTCGCATTTGCGAAGCTGGGCTGCTGGGGAAAGGACTCGCATTTGCGAGGAATTTGCCGCTTTTGCGAGGCCTGTTGAGTTCGCATTTGCGGACTCAGTATTGCATTGGCGATAAAGGCCTGAGCTGAGTTTGTTCGCATTTGCGACCAACTGTCGCTTTTGCGAAGGTCCAGTGTTCGCATTTGCGATCTTTTTGGTCGCATTTGCGAAGGCAGCAGAGAATTTCAATCTTCGCATTTGCTATGAGTTCTTCGCATTTGCGGGGTTCGCTAATTGTTAAATGCTGAGAATTCCGAGACTTAGCTTCATTTTGATATATGTTGAACCCTAGCTTCGATGAGAGGCGATTTTGTGAAGGAATTTTCATACCAAATCATTGGGTAAGTACCTCTAATCAATTCTCAACTATATTTCATGATTTTATATAAGATTTAACATCAAATTCATGAGAAATCTAGGGGAAAATTTGGGGATTTTGTCAAAGTGTTGAAAAATAAAAATTTGGGATTTGAGAGTCGAATAGGACTCGGATTTGAAAACAAAACATATATTTGGACTCGTAAGGCTATCGGTAGTCAAGACCTACCCTTGGACCCGGGTTTTGACCGGGCGGGCCCGGAGTTTGACATTTGTTGACTTTTGAGAAATTATATAAAAATCACAGCTTTATTAATTGAAATTGTTTTTCTTGCATTGTGTGATGTATTCATGTCATCGTTGGCTAGATTGAGCCGAGCGGGGGCGAATTTGTAAAGGAAAAAGGCTAAATTGAGTTTTGAGTTAGCCGAATTGAGGTAAGTGTCTTGCCTAACTTTGTTGAGGGAATTTTTCCTCCTATTTGACATGGTTTGCTACATGCTGGGGTGATACATATATGAGGTGACGAGCGTATATGTATGTGCCAGGGTTAATTATGCTCGGGGGGTAGATTATGTTATATTTGTGTTTGTAGAATTGCGTGACCTTCTTGCTGCATGCCTTACTCGACTATTAGATACTAAGAAAATAGTATTAAATGTTAGAAATCAAGACTTAGCTTATTTTAACTTGATCAAATTTGACGGAATTTAGAGAATACATTGATGTGTCTAATTCGGTTGCACTACTCGTAATTATTAATACATTATTACGGCTGATATTCTTGAGATACTAGATTCTATACTCGTGTTGTAGATCATTTGTGAGATTAGTTGAAATACTTGAATATTACGATCCTTGAGGGTTATTGAACTATTTTTGGTATTTGGAAGTTGTGATTGGGATTCTTTTGGATCATTTGTTTAAACACTCTCTTTGATGTTATTTATGCTACCTGCCTTGTTTGTCATTGATATACATATGCTTTGTACGGAGGAGTGTAAAGCACGAAGGGTGATGTTGTGCCATTGTATATAGATTATCATATGAGGGAGAGTGTAAAGCACGAAGGGTGATTCCGTGCCATATCATTGAGAGTAAAAGTACGAAGGGTGATGTCGTGCCACATTATTGAGAGTAAAAGCACGAAGGGTGATGCTGTGCCATGTTATTTGAGAGTTAAATCACGAAGGTGATGTCGTGCCATTTTATTTATATTGTTATGCTTTTATTATCGTGGGGTCATGGCAAGATGGGCGTTTCCATGTAGGTGAGGACGAGGGACATGCATTATGATGTGATATATGTTTCCCGTGTATACGTTTATGCCTTTACCTTGAGTTGTTATTGTCGTACTTATAGATCTTGTGTGACTTGTTTTTATTGTCCTGTCCTTGATCTATATCTCAATTGTTGTTGTGTTGCCCATGTTTTCTACTTGTTTAACTTGCAAATACCATGCCTACTTCCTGCTGTTACAATCACATCCATGTCGTATCTATTATGTTGCACTTTAGTACAAGCCCTTTCCCTATGTTAGACATTCATGCCTCTACTTGTTAACTTGTAAAGATCATGTGCTCCTTTCTTATCTGTTATACTTATATCTAGGCCTCCACTATGCTAGTTAGTTGAAGTTGTTATTCTTTGTCTTTCAATTGCTGTCATTACTCACATGCCTTCCACCTATTCTATTACTGTTGGCCACATATATATCCTCGTTCATTATTGCTACTTGCGCATTTCCTACTTGTTAATTCCTGTCATCGGTTAGTACGGTTATGCGTATATTGGGTGAGAATGAGATAAAAGCACGAATTGATTTAATATCTAAGTACATTTCTCATGCTATGAGAGTTATGAAGTGACTGTTGTGATTTATTGATTTCATTCTAAGGAAAGGATTGGTCGAGGTATTCGAAGATGCCAAATTGTGATCTCTGCTAACACTCGGTTATTGTTTTGCGTATCTGTTTCATGGATTTCTTCTCTATTTTATCGTGGTATAGTTCTATTGATGATTTACAGTGCAGGTTTTTATCAGTGACGTCTTTTAACTAAAAGGCCCTGTCACTACTTCGACGAGGTTAGACAAGATACTTATCAGTACATGGGATCGGTTGTACTGATACTACACTTCTTCACATTGCATGTAGATTTTTGGAGCGGAGTTGCTGGTGATGTCAGGTGCTGACTCTGAAGATGCTCGTGCATTCCAAATATAGCTGACACTTGTCCTTGGTAGCTAAGATTTTGGTAATCTGTTTATGTAAATTTCAAACATATCGTGTAATTATTTGTACCAGCTTTGTAAATTCCAAGTCTTAGAAGCTCATGGGTCGTGCTACCAGTTCTTGGGTCAATTTGTAAATATTCAGATAATTCTTCTCTATTTTTCCTATATTTCATTTGGATTGCACTTTCTGTTAGTTGGCTTACCTAGCGGATCGAGTTAGGTGTCATCACGACCAATAATTTTTGGATCGTGACAATGAAACTGCAAGAATAGTGTCAATCCTACTGCTAATACTTACATACCGTATATATAACTCATGAAATTAGTTAAGGTATATATAAAATTGCTCGAACAACATCATTATCCAAAAAAAAAAAAGGTTTTGATAACTATGGGAATTAATTCGTTGGATGCCTACTTAATTAATTATAGCCACTTAGTTAAGGAAAGCGCATGTGGTCATGTAGTACTTAACTTTGGTTAATACAACATTTATAGAAAATCTCCAAAAGCACTGAAATCTAAACATCACTTTCATTCAATTGAAGAAACCGACCTCGTAAAGCTGAAATTTTTTCTTTGTAGATAAGGTTCACAATGTGATCCATTACCCATCTCTAACTTGGCCCCCCATCACCATCAATATTTCTTCCTGCTTATAAATTTCTTTAAAAATATTAATTTAAAGTTTATGAATTTTTATCATGATCTCAAATTAAATAAATAATTGAATTATATTTAGATATTTATGAAAATTTAATAAATTTCTTAATACGTATACAAGATTTGGAAAAAAAAAACACTACTGAGTTACGTGAAACAGCATATTATATGCTAGCTCCGCCTCTACCCACACCTTTTTTTGGCAATAATATATTGGCTATAACAATATAATGCATACCAATTGAAATTAAGATTTACTTTGGTGTTGTTCTAGTTGTCTGAACTCTGAAGTATTATGATAATTTTAAGTTTGGTTAGAAATTTACAATATGTCAAATAGCAGTATATGCAATGTCAATTAGTGAAATTAAGATTTAATTGATGTTTTTTTAGTTGATAATTTTTTGTTTAGTTCAAGATTTATATGTCAACCTAAAAATTAGGATTTGTTTTGTTTAGAGACAAATTATACACTTAGTAATAATACAGGGATACCAATGTAGAGACTAGTAATCCAGTAATTATTTGTGTTGAATATTTAGTTTGATATATTAAAAATTAGTACACAATGCATAACTAGAATATGTGTTTACTTCTTAAGCAAAATAAAATTTTATTTGCTATTACAAGGATTAGTTTTGTCATTTGAATATTTTTAGTTCATACAAAACAAATATCTGCATCCATATTCTAAATTTTATCCCGCATAAATAAAATTCTTAGCATAATTTGCCAGCATTTTTTATAAGAAAAGAAAAATAACAGTGGTATTATATATAGAGATTAAATTTCCTCATTACACCAACTAAACAACCCTTACGTGTTTGACGAACAAAAAATTATATAAATGAAATAAAGTCAAATAAAACGGATTAAAAATTAAAATTTACATAGTCCAAAATTTGAAGCTATTACTAGTCTCCTAGATCTTGGATAATATGAATGGTTATGTATGTTATCTTAGAATATTAAATAAAAGACCCACAACAGGAAATATGGATATTTCGCATAAATAATGAACATTTCTTATTTTCCTTATCCTCCAACTCTCTAGATTTCTCCCATATACATAAACCTTAAAATCTACATAATACATAAATGTAGAGAAAAATATAAGACAGAAGAGGAAAAGGCAGATTTTGATACTGAAGAAGATTCCACAAGAGTAATATCACTATATATAATTTAGTGGAAAGTGATTTGAAAGATCAGTTGGCTGCTTGTAAGATTTTCTTGGTAAGTTTATCATGTAGAGAAATTTTTGGCCTTTTGTGTATTAGACAATAGTCTTTAAATTTCTCTTTTATTTCTTGGGTAAGTATTAGGTGGATGGTTGGAGGGGTTAATTTGGCTGCTTCTGAGATACGTGTAGCAATTTTTGGCATATTTTCTAGTTTTAGTATATTTGTTCTGATATCTCTCTTTATGACCCAGTTCAATTCTTGATTTTGAGATTGAAATGATGAAAGGTAAAAAAAGATTTCAACTTTGGATTACTTTTTTGATTTGTCATAAAAAAGTTTAACTTTCAAGAATCTTGATTTCTGTAAAATGATTTCTTTTTATTCAGTTTAATCTGGAAGAATGTTGTTTTGGTGTCATTTTTAGTTTAGCTAACTTGTATGACCAAGTCATTTTGTTGTGAATTCTTGTTTCTCATTGACCTACTATATGTTTGGTTTTATTCTAGCTTTATAGGCCAACTGATATGACTAAGTCATTTGAAGGTTGATTTTGTATGTGTTTGTTTCTTAATTATCTCCACTATGTTTGGTTTTCTAGCCTTGTGGGCATGATTTTCCTTGGTTAAAAATTTATTTGATCCTACAAGAAAGCATGTAATTACCTTTGAATCCCCTTTTTTAAATAATTTAATTCCATAATGTGCCCTTCTTGTTAAAATTCTATCTTTTCTCTTCCTAAAATCCTGGTCTCTGTATTACCTGGAACCTTATATATTCCATGTTGTTTGTGGAATAATCTCTCTTTTTTTGCATTTTCCATTGTTGTTCCCTCCATGTTTTGCCTAGAAAAATTAGTTTATGATTCTCTGATCAGAAGGTAGCTGATAATGGAACAGGGTTCCTTGGCCTACGTAGGTCCCGATTCGTGGTTCTATTATGTTCTTATATCAGTCTCTGGTGAAGGATTCTATTGAGGATTAAACATGGAGAATGGTCATGAATCACTCAGCAATGGAAAACCAGCTGATCCTGGTCTCCAAATTATTAGGCACCCCTCTTATCAATCGTGTGGCAAATTATCATTATCTTGGTTAGATATAAGAGTTTTCTATATTAGAATCAGCAATTTTTTGGTGGACGATTCGACCCCAGAATATCTTACTCTCAACCATATTCCTCTTTGTCCTGATACACTGCTTGAAGTCAATGGAACAAGGTGTTCCATGTATTCAGAAGGAGCACCTTGCCTCCTTCGAAGGGACCGGGTTGATAAGAAATCTGAAGAAGCTACATTTGTGAGCACGGATAGTATAAGGGTGACAGGAAGTGTGAAATTTGAGGTTTTCAATAAGGATGATCTTGTGCTCTCGGGGGTTTTAGACATGTCCAATAGCAATGGCTTTGTTGGGGAGGCTAAAAACAGCGTCAAGAGATGGAATATGAATTGTGAATCAGTTATGAGTGCCAGCACTGGTTTTCTGAAGGGTAAACAAATTATAGGTTCTGAATCATTGTCACCAACGATTGAAGTCTTTATTACCGGTTGCTTCTCCGGGACACCTATCATCTTAACCAAGAGTTTGCAGCTCAATCACAGGAAGAAGCACAACAGGAAGGGTATGTTAGACTCAATTCCGGAGCATGAAACAAATGAGCAGCATAAAGATGTCTCATCTGGACGTGATCTTCAGGTATAATTGGTAGTCCAGAACCGGCTTTTTATGTGTCCATTTGGTATAGTTATTTGGTGTCTTCCTAAAATGAACTGAATAAAACAGTTAATAAACCATGAGAACTAATTATTACCCTACCACTGTTGACTGGCTTTATTCGTGCTTCATATCATTCTTTGTTTTGGATAAAATTGTTCATGCGTTATATGATGAAACATGTTTCTTTGTTACAACTTACAGAAATGTCTCTTATCTTTAAGAAGTAGGACAGGATCTCATTGTAATCTTGTCATAGGATATGGGAGGCGACATATCTTTAGATGATTCTTTAGTATTCCGTTTATCCTTTTCCTTTGTTACAACAGAAGTAGCACCAAGGAAGTGCCAGTATTTACAAAATACAAGAAATAGTCCCTCAATCGAATTGTAGGAACTAATAATAAAGTTCAGTAGAACATCTATAGTATTTACATGCTTAATCCACAGGGCAATAGATAGCAGACATACAGGTTTCAGTTTAGGTAACAATAGAAACACCATCTACTGTTCCCCTTCACAAAAAGCATTATTGAACCGTATTTTTAATCTTCCAATCAGCTTTCTTCTGTTTCCTGCTAAGCCGGTTGAGATAAGCATCTATTTGAGATTTCAGCATTACCCTTGTGTACTCAAAAGATTAAGATATCTCAGCTTTCCTTTGCCACCTCAGAGTGTAGGAATAGATGATTTGTGTCCTATTACTTAGCATGTATCTCCTTTGCCAAATAATCATGCGCGAGGCATGATTGATGAAGAGCTATCCACCCCAAACAGGATACTTCAGAAGGGCTTCTACACTTCCATAACAGTTGCCGAGACCAGGGTCTTCTGACACTTCTCCTGCTGTCCCCTTCCCATCTTAAGAAATTTACCTTATTAAGACAAATCCATTCCTTCCAATTTCCTTTTCATTGTTACTATACTCTCAATCTCCTAAACCTGGCAATTCCTTCTAAAGATGTTCCAAATTTCTTGTGCTCTAGACTGTACTAATGCCGCATCGGGATATACAGTCAAGCTAAAACGCTACTGGAAATCCTCCCTTGAAAGAGTGTGACCAATGCATGGATCTTGCTAGAGTTTAAACTTTAATCCATTTCCTTTCTTGAAGTAAATATCTGTTTTAAAATAGGGGACTAAATTGTAATCTCAAGTTCCTCACTCACAGTTCACCTGACATGCAGGGGGCATTATCGCCATAGAAACTAGCTAGGACCCACCATTTCCTCTTTTGGCATTCCATTGCAGCTCTTCAAGAGCAACATGTATTTATGCTGTTTATATGAGCTGATTAAAACGGAGTCGTGGTTTATTTGTCGCTTATTATGTGTTACTGGTGAATTCTCTGCTATTTTGGGTACATGCACTGCATGTGGTCTAACTTGTAAATGACTTCCTGAAGCAAAAATTAAACGAAAGAAAAGAAAGAAAAAAAAACCTCTCTCGGGTGTCTTTCTTAGTTTCTTAGCATTATATTGAAGTGTCAAGCTGCAAAAGTCAAAGGCCTTCAGTATGTTTGTCTATTACCCATGTCTATCTGTTCCTAATATTGTTCTCTATGCCATGCATAATATCTTGGGAAGCATTTATTCATGTGTTGACATTAAAAAAGGAAACAAATGTCGCCGCCCCCCCCCCCCCTTTCCTGTCCTCTTTTTTTACTGATTAAAATAAAAAGAAAAGGAAACAAAAGGGGCAGTCTTTGCACTAAAAAGTTAGAGCTCTGAATCATGGAAATTATTCATGTGCTATCCGTGAATACTTGGAACCTTTTAAAATGCTATAATTGTTGAGTACTGCTTCCTGGTGAAAATCAGTAGGCTCCTTGCTGACGTCATCGTCACATCTGTTACATTTGTGGCATTGAGTGCTGCCATGTATTTCTTTAGTTTAATAATACTTAGTTTTCCACTTGCTATAAGTTATTAACAATCTTGTAGAGGAGATATGTTATCTTTTGCAATGTCAGATAATTTTTTGCATGTGATATGAAGGTCAAATTTACTCCCTAATTAAGCCAAAAGTTACAAGTAGGTTATGATGTTTCAACTGATTGTATTGCCTATTTCGCTGCTTTGGTTTTGAAGTCCAAAAAGGTAAGGGATGGTTGCATATTTGACCTCACTTTCAGATTTTTGAGTTCCCTTTGTCGATTCTTTTGCTTAAAATCTTCACAGAGTTTATTCGGCTTTTAGCATTTCTTAGTTCCAACATTTAACAGAAGTGAGTCTTTTAGGCATAATTAGTCAAAGAATTCATGCAGCTTCTGAACTTCATTGTGTGTTGACAGGTTGCAGAATATAGTAAAATCTTCACAGAGCTTTGTCGGCTTTTAGCATTTCTTAGTTCCAACATTTGACAGAAGCGAGTCTTTTAAGCATAATTAGTCAAAGAATTCATGCAGCTTCTGAAATTCATTGTGTGTTGACAGGTTGCGGAGTATAGTAAATATGAACCAGAAAGCGAAGAAGACTACAACAGCATGTACTGGAGGCAGACTGAATATATGGATGGTGAAGATGGAGAACTATCCTGGTTCAATGCCGGGGTCCGTGTTGGTGTAGGGATTGGCCTTGGCATCTGCGTAGGAGTTGGAATAGGAGTTGGTCTGTTAGTCCGCACCTACCAGACAACTACGCGAAACTTCAGAAGGCGGTTTGTATGATAATGTACTGCTCCATTTTTTTTTTTTGCATAAAACCAAACGGCTAACAACAGAGATATGCTTGTCTTGAGAGTGTGAATTCTACTTGTAAGACAGTTTCAGTGTTGCTAACCATCATACATTTTCATGTAAACCTTACTTTCTGCTACCGAGTCGAGTCTTTTTGTTTTGGATTTAGGTGTGCAACTTCTTAGTGTTGTTGATGTTCCATTCCGTTGCTGAGGTGTGTCCAAGGCTGCAAATATTATATAATCAGTTGAACAAAGTTACTGTATTGAGCTTTTTTGGCTTGTAGTTTTATGTAATTTTGTCTTTGTGAAGTTTTTCATAATGAGAAACTAATGGCTTGGTATTAGTTGCCTGGGAAGCAGTAATTATGTTGTTTGATGTTTTACATTTAACTAGTATAATATTTTCTTATACCAGTTTTTGGGAACTTGAAAATTTGTGAATTTTTTTCCCCAAAACGTGATCATATTTCATAAACAAACACTGCTTTTAAAAAAAAATGAAAAAACTAAGCGAAAATTTACGTCCAAACGGGAGCTTAAACTCCGTGTCCAGTCAAATAGGTTCACATAAATTAAAAGGGAGGGAATATCACATATAATGAGTAAAATAGGTAAAATTTGTGAAAGAAGGAGAGTGTATAACCTTAGGCATTGAAGCTAGCAGCATTGTGATCTTATCTTCTAAGCAAGATAATTTACAAGTTTGTTTTACTTATCAAAGAAAAAGATAACCTACTAGTTGGGTTGAAAGGCTTACTGCTATTGAGTTAAACCAGTAAGTAAATCTTGAAGCAGACATATTCCTTCATTCCTCCCTTCTTTCCATCACTCCTTTCTTTATTTCTTATTCTTTTTATTTTTTATCTTATGACGGACTGACGGTAGTTGTTCGGCTATGTGTACCTCGACTAATTCATCGAATACATGGTACCTCCTACTAGCGCAGGTACTAGATAATTCGATAGATCAAGACGACGACGACAACAACAAAAATAAGAAATTCAATGTAATCTCACAAGTGAGGTCTGGGGAGGGTACGCATGCCTTACCCCTACCTTGTGAACGTAGAGAGGTTGTTTCCGATAGATCCTCGGCTCAAAGACAGAAAAGAAAAAGAAGCACAACAAGTAGTAATGAAGATCTAAGTATAAGAAAATACAAGAATAATACTAATACTACATGAATGAAAAAGAGATACATTCAACAACACTAGCCTTCTACCCTAATCCTCGACCTTCACACCCTCCTATCAAGGGTCAATGTCCTCAATAAGCTGAAGTTGCGTCATGTCCTGCCTAATCACCTCTCCCCAATACTTCTTACGGAAAAGGGTTCAAAATGCCCCTAAACTATTGGAAAAGGTTTAAAAATACCCTCCATCCACCTATTGGGCTAAAAATACCCCTCCATCCACCTTTTTGGTTCACTTATGCCCTTTGGCCGTTAGGTCAATGCTAAATTAAAAATAATTATTATTCTTTTTGTAAAACTTAAAAAAAAATTTACAAAATATTTTTATTTTTTTAAACTAATGCACCAGTAGTCTATTAATTTAGCAAAAGTCTTTTTTTTCAGTATTACAAAAAACAATTCAGTTTTTACAAAAAAAATATTTTTTTCCAGTTTTTTTTAAAGCATTTCTTTTGTAAAAACTGAAAAAAAAATTGTAAAAACAGAAAAAAATGTTTTTAATAAAATGTTTTCGTTTAAAAACTGAAAAAAATATTTTCGTTTTTGAATTTTTTTTTCCAGTTTTTTCAGTTTTTGTAAAAAACGAAATGAAAATAAAACGAACTTTAAAAAAACTGAAAATATTTTTGTCACTTTTTAGAAAACAAAAATATTTTATTAAAAACATTTTTTTTTTCTGTTTTTACAATTTTTTTCAGAATTTTTTTTTGTAAAAACTGAAGAAAAAGAAGACTTTACCAAAATTAGTGGACTATTGGTGCATTAGTGTAAAAAAAACGAAAATATTTTGCAAATTTTTTTTTAAGTTTTACAAAAAGAATAATAATTATTTTTAATTTAGCATTGACCAAACGGTCAAAGGGCATAAGTGAACCAAAAAAGTGGATGGAGGGGTATTTTTAGCCCAATAGGTGGATGAAGGATATTTTTAAACCTTTTTCCAATAGTTTAGGGGGCATTTTGAACCCTTTTCCGTAGTAGGCCTAACTCTACCTCTCCACAACCCCACCATGGCTAACCTCTGGCACTTGTTCACTAGGATGAAAACTTAAACGAATGGGAACAAAATCACCTAACTTTTATTGCATAATCTGGAAGTGCATTTTTTAAGATGTTACATTTCTTGTCATATATTTAACTCAAGTTAAGCAACAGAACAATAAGCTGGTACTCTAGCAAAGCATCTAAGTAGCTATGGCTGGTGGAGCAATACATTCAGGATTTGCAGCAACCTCTGCTGCATAGTAGCCATTAGTTTCAGGGTGGAGCTTGTCAAGACTCCAAAACTTGGCAGCTTTCATATCATCTTGAACCATTTTCCTTGAGAACTCCTCATGATCATAGTTTAAAGTTGCTTTTCCTCCAAACTCAGTTGGTAAATTATCCATGTCAAAGTATGATTTCATCAGTTCCACACTATCCTTGTTCTTTGGATAAACAAATTTGACCTTCTGAAATGTTTTGCTATCCAGAAAATATTTGACTATCTGCAACAAGAAAAAAAACAGATGAGCATTAATAAAAAGTAAGATCATTTATTGAGTCACATCTCTACTTCCTAAAAGAAGTAATGAACTCAGTATTTTTCTCAACTAATAAATGGAAAATGCAGTCTTAGGCTGTCAATGATATAAACTAGTATCTACAATGTAGGCTTTGGCCTTTTAAACAGTAACATAATACAATCTGCAATGTTATAACACTTGAAATAACTGGTTTTATGTTTTGCATGGTTTTTGGTTTGATCAAGTAACAGTTAAGAGGTGAAACAAAAAGAAAAGATTCAGATCAAACCTTCCAAAATGCTTCGAAAATTCGCGGAGGGTTGTAGAGAAATGCTATAGCAAGTCTTTCAGGGTAGTGGTTTTGCAAAATATTGACCGTCTCACGAGCAGATTTGATGGGAACATTATTGGTTAAAGACCATCCTGTGAAGTCTATTAACCAAGCCATTTGCTCTTGACCTTGTGGAAGATTAAGAATGGCATTCTCTATCAGATACACTAAATGCTTCATCTGGTTGTCTATTGATGTTGTATTCTGAAAATATAAGCAAGAACTGTAAAACTCTGATTCAAGAATATCTCAGCAGTTACAATAAGACAGAGTTTGAAGAGTTGAACTTGCTTTTACATCACCTGCATTCCTGGTCTCAAGATGAGAACACTCCTCCCATCGCGGTCATGGAAATTTGCTCTGAAAGCTTTCCCTGTCTCACCTTCAATTGCAACTTCATTCTAACAAATTGCAATAGCATTATATGGTCAGTAAATACAAAAGTACCAGCAGTTCAGAGACAAAAGTATATAGCAAAGTCAAATCTACAGATGGAAAGGCAGAGCACTCAAAATACTGTATACATACTCAATAACCATCTATTGCCAACACGATTAACTAAAAAAATGGCAGTCCGATGTACAAAGCATCCTGCATTCATGCAAGATCTAGACGAAAGGCCGCACCCTAAGGGTGTGATGTACACAGCCTAGCCCGGTGCATGCATCAGCGGCTGATTCCACGGTTGAACCTGTGACCTATAGGTCACATTGACCGTTGCTTCAAGGCTCCCTTTCAACCAACACGATTAACTATGACAAACAAACCGTTGGTAAATAGAAATAAAGGAGACAATCACAAAAATGTCAAATCTTTCATGTATGCAAAATCACAACAAATGGTTTATCATGCAGTTCTGTTTTCTTCCATTCGTGACCTCAGTAACGAGTCACTGTGACCACATATGTTTCTCATCAACAAGAAGATAACCACAGCATACAAATTTATCTCTTTTCTTACCCAGTGGATTTCCTCAGGCTTAAAAGTTGACCTCCATTTTAGGGACTCTTCCAACATCTTCTTTGATTTATCCATATTCCAGTTTCGCGCTTCCAAATATCTCCTTAAACATGCATCACTGCAGTACTGTAAGCTGCGCCCTGATAGTGGCTCCAAGGAAGTCCGAAGCTCCTTAACCTGCAATAAAATTAACAGCCTCATTAGAACAAGTTAAAAGCAGACGAGATTTGATAGTTAGAATACGTTCACAATCGCTCACTGAGAAACAGAAAAATTGACATACAAATATAAACTTTTCAACAGTTGGTTACCTTGTGCTGTTGATCCTCACCCTCCTGATCACAATGGGAATGGCTCTTGCGACGAAACATGATAAATGCTACTGCTACTGGTGTCTAGTACTTCAGATTTAACTGTACAACCCATATAAACAGATGAGGCCTTTCACCAATCGACTACTATTAAGAAATTTCCCATGTGTCAGCAAATACATTTTCATGAATGAAGTTCCATAGAAATAGACAAAGGAAATAGGTTTTACTTGGAAGTAAAGAAACATAGTGCAGCTGAAACTTAATTCTATTCTATTTGACAGTCATAAGATTTCCTACCTGCAAATACATTTCATATATAAATTAAATTCCATACATAAGTAGGGCTAAAAGAATTGGCATTTCATTTATCAAGCCTATGCTACTGCTGAGTCACACTTAATATGAAAATTACTGAATGAATCTATTCCATTATGTTCGATCTAAAAAGAAAAAAAATCACACTATGTATGATTTGAACCTATGACATGACTTCTGGTAGCCAAGCTGTATTAGCAGTCTCAAATAAGACGTGCACGCCTGCATCTTTAGTAGGTGATTCACTAACTAAGTGAAGAAAATGCCGGATCAATCAAAGGGAGTACTACAAGCCCTCTGCCGCATGTGTCTAACCAGAACCATGTAGGAATGTGAAACTAGTTTTAATCAACAAACCCTGCTAATTTTCTACAAATTATATTGTTGCAACATTATTGAATAGCTTTCCTCTTTACAGGCACAGGTATTTTTCTCTCCAATTGGTGATTTAAGGCACAAACAATCAGCCATTCACCTATGTCACAAGGTCAAAATCAGATAAGTTGACCAACTAATACTTTCTGATACATACAAAGCTTGTGGTCATTTTCACTCCATAATATACCTACAACAGAATGGTAAATTTGTGAAAGAGAACACGCACATTTCTTGAATACAATATAGTAACCAATTCTTTTGGCTGATGAAAAAAATCAAAACTTTGGCACTAAGTAACAGACTCAAGATTAGAACAGTTATATATCCCAAATCTAGCTTTCGCCTTTTATTACTGTCCGTTTGATGCCAAAAACAATTACCCAACATGAGAATCACTCACATAAATCAACACATTCAAAGAGACAAAGAGCAAACAATCAGTAGATCCATCAACTGCAATAATCAGCGGCAGATTCAAGATTTTAAATCAGTGAATACAGACAATAAGCACACACATTTATTTTAGAGGTGTTTAACTATATATAGAGGTTGAATCAAAGACAGTGAATATTAGTTAATTCATGATCGTACCTGGGGAGAAAACAACAGAGTGGTGGAATTTTCAGCTCTTGTATATATCAAGAATATGTCATACAACTTCTTTTAAAAATACAACATACTTCAGTTATATAATGACTAGCTGGTCTCTCCCTCAGACACATACAAAGAGCAGAGTCAAGAGTGTATACGGTGTGTGTGTGTATATATGTGAATATTTTCTAAGAGAAATGCAGAGCAATAACAGAAAAAGGACAAACAGATTTTACAATTAATATTTTTTTTTAAAAAGGTCCTCGTTTGAACATAAGGTTGTTGTACTTGTTTTGGATCCTGGGATGTAACATGGTGTAAGTCATAGCCGCCACATGGCGTTTAGATCTATAAAATGAGAGTTTTCAGGGAAGTTTCCACCTTGTTAACACTTTTAAATTCATGATACTGTTTCTATTTTAGAATCTCATACTATTATTTTATTTGTATGTAATTTATGCAACTTCAGTATTTTTCAAAATCATTAAACTATTTATATTGTCAAGAATTTTTGCAACTATATGTATAACTTTCTCTCTTACACTATTTTTTAACTATTATTTTAATAAATTCTACGAGCATTAATATAGTGTAGAAGTCAAATTAGCACTATGTCAATCATCCCATATTATAAGGCTATGTTCACTGATCGCGCAATTTAAGATATTAAGTTAATTATAGTGAAAGAACATATTAAGTTGTGGTTGGAAAATTATGACAAAACAAAATTAGCACATCAGACAAAAAGTAATAGAGCGATGTTAAAAGATTTGGAACCTTCCAAAATAAAATAAATCAATAATATTAATTTCGGCAGTCAACATGACATATTCAAACTGGAATAATAAATGATTTCGAGTTCTATTGACTTTCTGAACATTATTGCTCATATTCCATTTTCCTATAATTTGTTAACTATGCAGAAGAAACTTGAGTAAATTTTATCTCTTTCCCTTGAAAATTTTTTCCCTAATTCTAATTAAACAACTTTGCCTAAATATTATTTTCCGATCAATGGTGTTGAAAATTATATATTTTATTGCATATTACATGTGGAGTCTTCTCTTACTCTTCCTTCTTCCTCTGTTCGAGAACCAATGAAAGAAGAAATAAAGACAGTGATGGATTTGGACCAAACTGCCGAAAGACAGAAGACATCCTTGAAAAATCCTAACAAATGAGTTGGAAATTGTGGAAGATAAGAAAAGTTTTGCTTTCTATCTCCATCAATTTCCACTATTTCTTACTATTAGTATTTGTTTTTATACTATACTTTTCTAGCTAGAGACCAGGAATTTGTCTGTCTTGAAATAGAAAGTGAAGAAAAATTAAGAATTAGGTCATGGGTGGGAAGCATCAGATTCCACTATCAAGATACAATAATGGAGCATGTGTATGGTCTATGGATGTGCCACTTTGGACCATATTCAATTTAATAAATGAAAAAAATGAAGAATAAAAGTTCGTCTTTCTAGTATGAACTAAGGTGAAGTAGGTTGGAGAGTGGTGAAAAAAATTTACTCACACATGATTTATATCAAATCAATAAATATAAGGCATATTTTTTGTTATAATCTTGATCACTTAATTATTATTAATTAATCTAGATACATATAAACTTTTTTCAAGAGATTGTTAAATAACTTTAAAAGAGAAACACTTTGATGCTACCTCTAAATATTTCTTAAATTGTAACGACCCGTTCCATTCGGCGGTAAAAGGTATTGAGCAACTTCGTATTATGTGTTATGACTTGCGTGCATGGTCGAGTTCAGTTAACCATCAAACTCAAGGAAGACTAGTAACATTTTAAAAATTCATCTTGTTAGTTTGAAAATCGATTCTCCAATGACGAAAAAAGTTTTGATTCTAGAACAGTCTAATCGTTCCTTTATTTTGAAGACAACTTCACCGAAAAATTAAACTAGCGTTTGGACATAGATTTGATTAAAACTTGAAAAAATAATTTTTGAAGTAGTTTTGAAAAATAATTTTTGGAAGTTGAAAAAATTATGTTTGGACATGCATTTTATTTGAAAAAAATTTGAAGTTTTGTGAGTGGGAGAACAAGTTTCACCCAAAAACTACCCTAAACTAGGGCCCCGTTTGGCCATGAGTTTTGCCAAAATAAATTTGGGATTTATTTTCAAAACTCATGTTTGGCCTTAAATTTTGTCCATATTTTGGCCAAATCCCAAATCCCTGATTTTGGGCCAAAATCCCAAAACTTGGGAATTATATACATGTTTTTTCCAAATAAAGTTGGAAAATATGTTTCGAAAACGTATGTCCAAACACATTTTCATCTTCAAACCAAACTTCACCCAAATCAGATTTTTCAAAATAAATTTGGGATCTATGACCAAACGCTAGCTAGATTTTGGAAACTTGAAAAGTAATTTCAGAAATTTTTCAAAAATAGATCATTAATCTATGAACAAACAATGTTTCAAAAAAGATTTGAAAAAAAGTTGCCAAAATCTATGGCCAAACGGGAGCTAAAAGAGAGAGAACCTTGGTAACATTTTCAAAACGAATTCGTCCAAAAAACTAAGTTTAAAATTTCGGTGTGTGTGTGTGTGGGGAGGGGGGGGGGGAATCATTTGAAGTTAGAATTGTGTTTGGATATGAATATAATTTTGGGTTGTTTTAGAATTTTTGTGAGTGATTTGAAGTGAAAATTTTAAGAAACAGTCTTTTGGAGTTTTTCAAAATTTCGATATTCATCGTCAAGTGAAAATTTAAAATTTTATGTCGAAACACTAATTCAAAAAAAAAGTAAATTTGTTTTGAAAAAAAGTGAAAAAATCTGAACGGCCAAACGGCCCTAAATCAAAAGCAAGATAAATTTCCACCCAACAAGCTGATTCGTTTAGCTTTCAAAACATACTCTTGAATCATTTCTCATGGACTGAAATAAAACCTCTTTCTTATACAAATCTCAATTATTTACACATTCTCATCCAAACTAACTATGAGCCCGTTTGGATTAGCTGGAAAAAAGTAGCTTTTAAGCACAAGTGCTTAAAAGTAGCTTTTAAGTGCTGGAGCTTGTTTATGAATAAGCACTTACCTGTTTGAATAAAAGTGCTTAATCTTAAAAAAAGCTGTTGAAGTGTTTGGTAAACAAGTGCTGGTAAGCACTATTTTCTGTTAAAAAGACAAAAATATCCTTAAAGTTGTTAACATTATAAAGGAGCTGATTATTACAATATATTTAATTCTGAATTAATGCAAATAAAAAATAATTCATACTTTAATTTAATTTCAATCTAATTGATTACTTGATAATTTTTATAAATAGGAATGCTCATTTTTCACCACTTTTAATCAAGTAAACTTCCATAAATTTAAAGCTTACTTTTATACAGACTAGTAAAGTAATGATGTCATACAAATTGGAGTCTTAAACCATATGAATTAGCAAATATAAATCAAAAATCTATAGTTTTCTCATTCTTTTTTTGGTCTGAAGCATCTATCCAACCAGCCATTTCGGGTGTTGCTCCAAAAAGAAAAGAAAAGAAAAATAAAACTCAAAAGCGCAAGTAATGACTCCTAACTAGACAAACGTCCAGCTCGCCAGCAAGAGCTCCAAACCCAAAGGAGCAATGAGCAGAAGTATGTCGCATCTGAAGACTAAGGTTGCAAACACCTAAAGAAAATGCTAGAAGAGGAAAGAAAAATAATTTGTTCCTCTAACTAATAAAGATTCAAAATATAATGAAGTTGGGGAAAGTTATGGAAGAAGAAAGCAGAGGCTGTAACAAGAATGGAAAAAAGAAAGAGAGGTATGTTTTAGGATTTTGTACTGAGGGATAATTTCGGGATTAAGAAAAATATAAGGGACAAGAATGTAATATCCTTGGTCAAAGCAATATGGCTTTTAAGCCAACTTCGAAAAGTTCGTTTTACCCAGCTTGTTGGTTTTGACTTTTTTAAGCAGATTTTTAACTTTTTTTAAGCCCTTTTTTTGGTTGCCAAACACTTTCAGAAGTTAAAAAGTGGTTAAACCCATCCAAACAAGCTCTATATATTATCTCCGTCCCAATTTATGGCATTTGATTTGGTACGGAGATAAAAAAAAGAAAGAACGAAATCCTTTAAAACTTTTGATCTAAAATGAATTATAGATATTTTTACAGCTATAAATCAATCTCATTAAGGATAAAGTAGAAAGTTTAACATTAAATTATTTATAAATGAGAAAGTATGGCACTCCTTGTGTGACAAATTAAACAAGAAAAGTATGATACGTAAATTGAGTCGGAAAGAATACTCCTTACCTTAACAATATCAGTTGTTAAGTTTTACCCTAATTTTCTACCAAAATTAAATTTCTTTTTTGGTGAAAAAGAAAAAAGATTTTTTTTGGTGGAGAATGACTCTTCCTTTTTTTTTCTTGGAGGAAAAGTTTTATACTTCTATAAATTGAGGCTTCCTTTTCACTTAATAATACAATAGCATCCACATTGTAGTCCTTAAGAAAGTCATTTCTCTTTTAATATTTTTGTAATCTCTTTTATATAGTAGATTGTTCTTCTCCTCCTATATAAATGTAGGTTAGTTGACCAAATCACATTATAATAATATCTTTTGATATATTTTTTTTTGTCCTCTGATTTATCGTCTCCAAGGTTTACTTTATGGAGGACATGCCGATGTCTATAAGCCCTATGGTTAAAATTTAGACTATTACGATGTGAACTCCTTATATCCATTTATAATGAAAACTTTTCCGATGCCAGGCGAACGGGGCTCCCAGGCCGGGACGTCTGGCATAATAATTTAGAAAAGGCGAAATTGGATAACTTATTTGGCTTTATTGAGGGCATTAGTTTCTGCATGATGACTTGTTATTTTGATCCCAACAAGTGGTATCAGAACAAAGGTCGAATACTGGTTCAAGGGGGATCAGATCTAGCTGCAACCAATTTGACGGTTATGAAGATTTTTTATCAAAGTGCTACTCAATGTGGAAATAAATTTTCAATTATATTCAACATTCTCGTTGCTGCATCTTTTAAAATAAATAAAATAAAATATTTTGAAATCAAATTTAATCCATACATATTTTCAAATTATTTTTAACGCATGCTTATTTTTAACGCATGGCTCTGTTTTAGCTCATACTTATTTTTAACGCATGAATTATTTTTAAACCAATACCAAATTTTAATTATTATATTTTTTTACCTTTTCTTTTAAACATGGCAAGCAACAATCATATATTGAAGACTATGTGAAAGGCTGATCAAGTACATTTTGCCAGAAAATCCAGGCCAAGGAGATATTTGTTAGGATTTATCCTAATTATTTATCATAATAAAATTATTTTTGGTGAAAAA